ATTTGTAATGATGATTGTAAAAAAAAATGGAACATTGTTTTATTTATTGTATATATGCATCTTCTTAGAATTTGTGAATGGACATTTGTGAGCAGTCTGAAACAACAGCCAAACTATACATACCTGGTATTACTTTCTTCTTAAAAGAAATGTTTAAATTAATGGGAGAGACAATTATAATGCCTAAATAGAGTTTTAACTCCTTCATTACATATTAACAGGTTGATACCTTCAATAGGTCTGCTGTATATTGGCTGAAAAAATCCAGACAATCCTTAGGTGGCAGCAAAGCAGTAACTACTGCTCATCCAGACTTTTGTGCCCAAATATGATAGCTCTCACCTTCCCCAAAGGCAATTTTACATAATACTGAAAGGAACTGTCAGTCAGAAATACCATGGCTTTACTCTTCCATTTGCATTATGCAAGGAGATGCATGTTGCTGTCAAGACCACAAATAAGAGCAAGCTTTCATGTGGAACGTACTCTGTATCCGAAACCCTGAGTCAGCTGCTCATGTAATATCTAGCCCCAAACAGCCTGCAGCATTTTTTGCTCCAGAGCCATACGCCGCCTCCTGTTTTGCTCGATGTCAGCTTGACTGGGAGGGCAGTTAAGCTTCTCTTAACCACAGCTCCATTTGCAACTGTTTTATCAAAGCCTTTGAATGCCTGGCAGCCAATGGTCCTGTTGGGGACCGGGAATGTGATCTGGATCTCCAAGTGGAGTAGCAGTATGACCATATTTATGGCTGTTGCTATTCTGGGGCAGCCTGCTGCTGCCTCTCTTCTCTTGGCAGCAGAAGCACATTGCCTGCCCCTTCGTCTTTCAACACTCACAGCTAGCAGGAGGGAATGAAGTAAAATATACAGTTTACTCAAAGAAATACGGTTTGCATGCATCAACCTTTTTTTTTAAAAAAAAAAAATCTTAACTACAATGTATTCAAACCTGATGTGGCAATAATATGCAGTATGTTCCTCTTACATCGAGGCATTTTATACCTATACCTATTCCTCTCCCAGCCTGTTCCTATAAAATGCAGCTAATCTCATGTGTTGGTTCATACAAGTTCAAAGCTGGGTTGGCTTATCATCACCTACCATATCTTGGCTGGCTGGCAGATGTAGCAGACTGTATAAAGCAAGCATCAGCGTGCTAGTTACACACACAATGCAAAGTCATAAGGTGCTCCAAATATGGCAAAATCCCTACACAAACAGTACCCTTCTGTCCAAATTTGCATAGACAGACAGACAGACAGACAGATCACATGCAATTCATTCTCCTGCCCCTGCACAGGAAAATTGCAATGGATTATAGTTTCCAGACTAATGTGGAAATATGTGGGATTGTCATATCTGCTTACAGGCAACATATGAATTCCTAATTGCTAGGGCATTCCATGTACAAGGTTTATGATACTGAAATCAATAGTCATCCCTTGCTTTTGTTTTCACACAAAATATGTAAAGCAATTTACAGAAGCGTGTTATTCAGATTATGGGAAGTAAACATTCTCTAGTACTTAGCAGTTACACCTTACTTGAAATACTGTGTCCACTTCTGAACATTATACAGGTAGTCCTTGTTTAGCAACCTCAACTGGGATTGACAACTCGGTCATTAAGTGAAGTGGTCACTAAGTTTAAACCGCAACTGTGCTTATGATCTTACTTCAGCTTTCCTTTGCTTTACAGATCTGCGAAGGTTGTAAATGCAAGGATTGATCGCAAAGTTACTTTTCCATTATCATCGTAACTGTGAACAGTCTCTAAATGAGGCAGTCACTAAACAAGGACTACCTGTATAATGTTCAGAAGTGGACACAGAACTGTGCTTATGATCTTACTTCAGCTTTCCTTTGCTTTACAGATCTGCGAAGGTTGTAAATGCAAGGATTGATCGCAAAGTTACTTTTCCATTATCATCGTAACTGTGAACAGTCTCTAAATGAGGCAGTCACTAAACAAGGACTACCTGCATTTTAAAAGGGACACGGAGAAGCTGGAGTGGATTCAGAGACCTACCAGGATGATAAAGGGTCTGGAAACCAAGCTCTGCAAGAAACAATTAAGGAGTTTGTCACGTTTAGCTTTCAAAAGACTATAGGGAGACATGATACTTTAAAGGGGTGTGTGTGTGTGTGTGTGTGTGTGTGTGTGTGTACACTCTAATTGGAGCAGCATCTGGTGCCAAGAAAGAACCACCATGAATCCATGTAATATACTAGTTAGAATAAGAATAGATAACTGCTGATGCACCAGATGTTGCTAAACTATACTCCCAGCATTCCTAAAAAGTGTGGTTAATGGCAAGAATGCCAGGAGTTATCTTTCAGCAATATCTGGAGAGAGAGAAGTGGCCAGTCATGTCCCAATACCCACTAAGTCATAACATTTCCTGGGTAATCTCTCGCTCTAACCCACCTCACAGGATTCCTGTGAGAATAAAAGAACCAAAGCCATTGCTTGATCTTCATAGGAAGAAAGTGGGACATTCATATAATAAACCAACCAGAACACAGAGGTGATAAGAATAACCACTGAAAAACAAGCATAGGCAAGTGAATGTAAATAAGCACAAGACAAAATTAAACATTAACACTGTGAAGATAATTCTCTTAGGCTTAATATATATTGTGATGCATTTGAAAAATGTGATGACATTCTCTACCAATCAATTCCTTCTGTTTAAGTCTCCATAAAAAGAATTACCATTAGTATGCCACTCTAAAATGCTCCTCACCCTAACCTCTAAATGTGAATGCTTAGTTTGAGGTCTTCTACCCTGTTCAACCTGCTCTGATCGAAGATATTCATGTTATTTATTGTCAGCTGTGGAAAGCTATAATATATATAAAATAACTGATAAATACATATATCAGAATTTAGACATCACTTCCCAAAATACACCCATAAGAAAACCAAAAGTCACACTGCTGTTTGGATATTTCTTCCCAGTTTAACTCCTGTGACACTATTTATTCAGAAAATTCCAGTAAACGTTATGTCTATCAGAAATATATGCTTATAGAGGGCATTTCCAAAGTTGAAAATTGTCACACATATTTAATCTGGCTTCTTTGTTCTAAGAACAGAATCTCCAGGTTAAAGCAAATTATGTGCCTATTGAAAGTACAGCATTTTTATTCCTCTATAAAAATAGTCAAAACTAACGTCCAATCTAACCAAATCCTACGTTCTCAGGATCACCTTGTAAATTCACAAATGAGTTAAAACTGGATTGGAGGATTTTCTCACAACTTGCACTGCTGGCAAGTCAAGTATCAGCTCTCATTGTTATTCCTCAGTATCTGCCTGAACACATACAGTTGTTATTCCACTCCAGGTGTTCCTGTTTCACCCTGGACACTATGATTTCACTTGGGGATGGGAGATGGACATTCCACCTAATTGTCATTCCACTTATGGGCCTGTCATGTATTTGCCATCCTTCTCTGAACGCTCAATCCTGCTGGTTCCCATGACAACCTACATTTGTTTCTATTGTTTCTCCAAGGCCCCCTTCCTGTAGTTTTTAATTCTATTTTTCCTCTTGCCTGCCAAACTTATTTCCCTCTTTTCCTTTGGCATGTCACTGCCTCCACCGTACTTTTCTATTGTTCTGTGTTACCATCGCTCTAATTAGCCAATCCTTCTCATCTGCAGATCTTCCGCTTCAAAGCTGTGTTCGCTCTGACTTCTGTAGAAAACCTTAAACCCCAGGAAGGAAGTACCCCTGGGAAAGGCGAGTTGTTTATTTTGTTGGCCAAAAGCCATAACCATTAGAGTTAAGGCCTTATGCATATAGGATCCTAGTTTATTTCTATTGCCTTTTAGATGTTCTTCCAGCATCTAAAAGGTACCCTGTTGCCATTTTTTTTCCATGCCTTTTTGCTGGGAATGCTAAAAGCAGGGTTTTGACTGAGAGAATGCTCACAGCTTATTGGTTATAGCTACGTCCAGCTTTTCTTGCAAGAGATTGAGGCAGCATATGAGTTCTTCACATTTTATCCTCACTAAAACATTTTAAAGGCAAGCTAGGTAGAAAGGGGATCTTGCCCAAGGTGACCTAAATGACTGTCAAGGCTAAGCAAAGATTTCAAGCAAGTATGCAGTACTTCAACATTCAACAGATGCAGATGTCCTCCGCACTTCACTCCCGGGATGGACCTGATTAATTTCTGGATGTGCAAGGAACGAAGGTAGTAACTCTGTCTTCCTCAAACAGTTCCAGCCTGATCTCCACATACAGGAAAATGAAACAGGAATGAGTTACACTATGTATACCTTTTTAGAGTCTGCCTGTGTGTTTGTGTGTGAGAGAGATTTTTAATGCTACAATGTAAGAATATACATCTACTAAATACATAAGGTATAACCTAAAGTACCTAGCAAGGTTTCAGTGACAGTCAACCTAGTTGGCTTTGTAGTCCTCAGCTCATGAAGGCATGTTTTGCACCCAGAGAATTAGAATTCTGGTATCTCATCCACAGCCTGAAGCAATTCAATCTTGGAAGCTGTAATTTTGGAAATCAATAACTAAGTCACATCCTGAGGGAAAACTTGTTCAAGAATAAAGGTCTCTGCTCATGCTCAGAGACAGAAGCCTAATAGGGCTTCCAATGTTTCCCAGCTCAGGGCTCTGGGACTGCCAATACCCAGGAGGGGCTCCGTTCACCCCGGGGGTCTCAGGTGGCCAAAGGGCTGCGCAAGCGGTTTCCCCTACCTCGCCCCTCTCCCACACCCAGCTTCGCCCTCCTGAGGTCAGACGACAACTCCAGGGGCTGGGGCTGGCGAGCCTTGGCTTTCGAGTTCCCGGAATCAGCCTTTTCTCACGCGCGCTCAGCCTCCTGAGCCACCTGCCCCGGCGGGCTCCGCCTCGCTCGCCGCGCCTCCTGTTCGTTTCCTTCGCCCGGGATAGAGCCGGACGGCGAGGGCTTGGGGACGGAAGGAGGAGACGGGCAAGGAGGGGAGGAGCGGAGCCGAGGGCGGGAGTCCGTGCCGAGCCGAAGATCGCTGAGTGGGACGGAGCGGCGGCATTTGTCGCGGGCACCTTGGCAGGGAACGCAGCGCGCGGCGGCGGCGGCAGCAACAGCAGCGCGAGGTGGCGAAGGAGCTGAGTTCGGCCCGGGCGCGCCCCGCTCCCCCTGAATGACGGGCGGCAGGTTCGACTTCGACGATGGCGGCACCTATTGCGGCGGCTGGGAGGACGGCAAAGCCCACGGGCACGGCATTTGCACCGGGCCCAAGGGGCAGGGCGAGTACGCGGGTTCGTGGGCGCACGGCTTCGAGGTGGTGGGCACTTACACCTGGCCCAGCGGCAACACCTACCATGGGTATTGGGCGCAGGGCAAGCGCCACGGGCTGGGCGTGGAGACGAAGGGCAAATGGATGTACCGGGGCGAGTGGTCGCATGGCTTCAAGGGCCGCTACGGCGTGCGCCAGAGCCTCACCAGCCCAGCCCGCTACGAGGGCACCTGGAGCAACGGGCTGCAGGACGGTTACGGCGTCGAGACCTACGGGGACGGAGGTGAGTGGGTGAGCTGAGGAACGGCCGCTAGGGGGCGCCCGGGGCCGGCGCACATTGGGGCATGCAAAGCGCTGCTCTTCCACACGGGCGTGTGCAACCGCGGGGCTCAGGAGTGCGAAGGTGCGCTCAGCAGGTAATGCGTTTGGTTTCTCTTGCTTTCACTTTTTTTTTT